TTTTTCAGCAATTTTCTCTGAAACCCTAAATAACCAACTTAATCATATTTTAGTTACTTTCCTTGAAAAAGATATTATATTAGTTACTTGAATAAGGAAAAAGTATCAACCTAAATCATGCTGTCACCCCCAGAAATTATTCTGAGATTGTTTTCCAGCAATCTGAAAGATATAAACCAAATTTGTTTCTAGTCCAAATAATTCTGAAACTTCTAGAACATTTAACCTTTAAGAGAGAATGAGCTCTGACTTAGTGAACTGGTAAGTGTAAAAAGTTTTTAAATGCTTCATTCCAAGAATGTTGCTTGTATAGTTAAAGCATTAGATCAATCAAGTGTATTTATAGGAGTATGCTATTAAGAGTAATATATGACTAATATAACTATCAAATAAAATATTTATCTATCATAACATTTTATTTGTATTTAAATTATATGTATTCCCATTGCTGCCCATTTTTTTCTATTGTTTTATTTTTACCCATAAAAGAATTGCATTTAGGTGCACTTTTAATTGCTATTAGAATTATTTTGAGATTTAATTACAAACACATGTTGATATTATAGCCATCATTTATTGAGTTAAGCCTTTCTACTATATGATATCTTATAAATCTCCACTGAGAAGAATTTCCAAATAGAATATCAAAATTCAGGTAAGATGTTTAGCTTCTTTCAAGCCAAAAACTATATTATTATTTTCGTCCTATCCTACATCTCTTTTTTTAGGTAGGAATTTTAACATGGCTAACTATATATTCACACTGGTTTCATATTTTCCCTATTTTAAAAAATTTATATGTGATCTCTTTTAAGGAACTATTCACAATCCCAAAGAATAACTAAATTTTAGATACTTATATGCACACGTAAGGTGGGAAATTGAGATTCTCCTAGTATTCATGGAAAAATAGTTTCCCAGCAGGATTTCTTTGTTATTCTGCAGTTAATGAAGTAGTAGTACCACAACATCAAGACAGACTTAAAATGTATGTTGAAATAAGGTGCAGTTAGAAAAGTCCAGATAGTCCTTTGTGAAAAGCTAACTTCTAATTTGTACCGAAATCAGCAGGGTCCCAGAGGCTATGTGAAAATCCCCACAGTGCTTTCTGTGAGAGGCTTAAGCATAGCAATTATTGAATTGTTTGTGGTTACGGTGTAGTTCAGCTCCCCTCGATATATCCTTAGGCACAGCTAGAAATTTGACAGAGTAAAGATTTTAATGTTTCTCTTTGTTTCTTACCTAACATCTTTGCTTTGATACTTCTATGGTATGAGAACTACAGCTTTTTTTAACAGTAGGAAAAAGAATACTAAATACATCCAATAACCACCTCAGCATAAGTACCACTTAATCAGAATAGCACAAAACAAGAGTAGAAAACAATGACAAGGGATCCTTTCTATAAATAGTGGAATATTCGTTTTGGCCCAGGTTCAGGGTCTGAGAGGCTTTTGGAAACTCCAAAATTTCAGTCTCAGATTCAATATGTCTTTACCTGTAAGTGCATTCCTGATCAAAGTTTTCAAATCAAAGGTTTCTAGAAGAGAACCGACAACAAGATAAGGCTTGGGGAGATCATTTTAAGGCAAAACAGAGTCATTGTAGAGGAAAAAGAAACATATTTCACATTGAAGGGAAAGTCATTGTTAGTAATTTATAGATGATTACCACATTTTTCTCTCTTATAACAAAGTAGATAATGGTGCTTATTTATCTATTTGCTTATCCAGTCCAGAATTAGAATCATAAAGCAACTGATTTCCTGCTAATGATATTTAATAAGAAATGTTCCCATGCCAATTAATACGTTCCTACAATATCATGTTAGTAGAACTATAATATTCTATACTATGTTGAACATTAGTGTTTGGTTCATCTTTTCACTCAGTTGGACAATGTGGTTTTGTATAACTTTGCATCTGAATCCTTGTACATATTCTTAACTATTTCTTTAGAGGAAATTCCCAGAGATGAAATTATTGATTCCAGTTGGCAAAGATTCATTTTCCTAATTAATACGCTGATCATTAAAAATATTATCTCCACACACCAATGCCCTCATTTTTAGTTTTGCTAGTGATTTTTCATTACCTTTGTGGCTTAATTTTTCATATTTACTTGTTCCTTAGAAAGAACAACATCAAGTGCCTTTTAAGTTACTCAAAATCTAGTTGGAGCAAGTCAGAAAACATCACAGCAGTTCCAGCAATTAAATATGGCACATTGATATGTAAGCAGTGGTAGGTTCACATTATGAAGAGCTTTGAAATAAATCACAATTACATGGTGCTGTAAATGTATCCACTAAGTATAGGAGCACAATTAGGCATCTAATTATATGGGAAAATGCAATCATATCCTAAGTAGAAGCCCTAGCCACAAAACCTGTTCCTGCCTGAGCCATTTTACTCCACAAACCCTCGGGCTCTTCAGTGATTCTATTGCTCTGAGGACATTCTCTGTTCCAGAAATTCCCCTATTTTTACTTTACACCTCTCCTCAATGGCCAGTCCAACTGATCTCTGACATATTATCTTCATTAGATTCCTTCTATAAACATTCTTGACTTCTTTTAAACCGTACATCCATAGAAGGTACTTACTCCATTTGCATCAGTCAAACTCTGCCGAACGTATCATTTAAGGTTTTATACCTATTGCAAGACATCTGATTAAAAAGTGAGAGAAGAGCGGCAGAGAATTCCTGAGATCAAGGAATCCATCCTTCAAATGGTCACAACGCAACCACATTTCCTCTGCTTACCTTGTAACCACAAAACCTAAACTCTAACAGCTTTATGCGAGCATAAAAGACCCAGAAGGAATAACAGCATATGTTTGCCACCTTATTTTTAACCAAGGTGAAAGTGATAAAATTCAAAACATTGGGTCCTAATTTGGGTAGAAGTTGTAGAAACATCACGCTCATGGTCAGACAGCGTTTGTAAAGGCATAATACTTACTATCGCATAATTCTAAGCAATCTGTAACAGTCCCATCACCTGCTGAAGCCCCTGGTATCTTTTTTATCACTGCTGGACAGTGCTGGAAAGAGAGCTGAAAGCATTCACACAGCAAAATCTATCTGCTGTAATCTTCCTCTTTTCTCATTGTGATATCAGAGGGGCACAGCCGCTATCAAAGTCTCAGCTGAAACATGCCCTCCTCAAAGCCTAGAAACACGTGACATACTTTCTCCCAGCCCCTCAAACTAATTCCTGTCCATCTAATTTTTATCAAAGTGCAAAAATGAAGTTACAGAGGAATATTACTTTCTAAGTGATGTAGAAAGTGATGAAGCATCCAGGCGGGTAATTTTTTTTTTTTTTAATTCTAGTACCGTTTGATGGTCTTTCCAATAAAATTAAATATCCATTCCCTTGGACTAAGGGTGGAAGCCAAATAAAAGTGTTCCAAGAATTAAACTGATGTTTGTACATAAGACCTCCAAAAGGGCTCTAAAAAGCCATTACACTATAGTAGTCTAATATACAGTGTTCTTAATATATAAGAACCAGAGGTGAGAGAGATTTTAAATTTCAAATGTTTTATTTAGAAAAGAGTTATAGTTTTGCTCTGAAGTATAGGAGAAAGAGGATCAGAAAATAATTTAGGAGTAATTTCTGCCACACAGAAAGAAAAGAAAAAACCTTATCCTGGATTTTTTTTTTTTTTTTTTTTTTTTTTTTTTTGGTTTGTTTTGAGAAAGCTACAGAGGAAAAAAAGATATTGAGCTATAAGAGTAGGTCTCCGAAACAGAACTCAATTGAAGAAAAATTGTGGTGAGTTCAAAATTACCAAAGAAAATGCCAGTAGAAATCATCTAAGTAGTCTGAGAATACAAGGATAATGGGGCACTTTGCTCTATTTTTCAGTACAATATTGGAGGAAATAGACACTGGTAGCAGAAAGCTGAGTTCAAAAACCAGTCTCTGATAGAAGAGTAATGGACAGGAAATCAAAACCTTGTGGTCCACATAGATGCAGAAGACCTAGGGTCACTGGAGACCAAAAGAGGGAAGGAACCTGCTGTGGCGACGACTAGGTTTAACCGTGAATCAGGGATCGACTCAGCCATAGATAGTTCAACAGCAGAGGCAGCCGGAAAGAGGCCCCTACACACTCAGCAAGCCAACACCTCAAAGAGAGCTCACCGGCAGCTGAGGAGGGGCCAGTGTCTTAGCTTCAAAAGAATTTGTGTTTAAATTCTTGCTGATTTTTAAGTTGCCATCTATAATTTTCTTTCTTAGGTTTATTGTGAAAGTCACTATGTATAGTGCACTAGGAATTCATATCATCTTTTTAAAAATATAGGAACTAGGAAGCTAATTTATCAGTCAAAAATGTTAGAGTAGGACTTTCTTGGAACTACATTTTTATTTAATTTCTGTGTAGAATTTAATGTGGAGTAAAGAAACGTGCTCGAAAAAGTACATATTTATTTATATACTTAACTGTGACACCAAAAGATAAATATAAATTTCACTTTATTTTGTACTTCTTGGAATCATAAATCTCCAAGTTTAAAAGTATAGAAAAAGTGTTATCAATGAAAACCCAGATGAATTAGGACATAACCACATAATAGAATATTATCTATCTCAGTGCACTATCTCTACACATTAAAATACAATATCCTTAACTACATTAAGTGAAAAACAAGGTATAGAGTAGTATTTTAAAAGGGAGCATAAAATAAGAATTTACATATGGATTTTATTTCAAAAGCCAAGAAAGAAAATAATGAAGTCTAAAGTATTATTAAGTAAATAAGGATAGTAATCAAATCTGGAGAGAGAGTTACGTGCTAGAAAAATGAGGTAACAAGGGGAGAAGAATGTCCACTGGATAACAATTTATATATCTTGACTTTTGAACAATACGAATATTTTAATGTGAGCGCCCCAAATTACTACTACTATGCCATGACCAAACACTCTGAGTGTCATAAATTTTCACAAATAATTAAACAACCTGAGTATCCTCATCTTCACCTACCTGGCCTCCTCCTTACCCGTCAGCTCTGCTTCTGAGCTTCTCTCCTGGAGTTTTGGGTTCCATGGCGCACAACTGTAAGGGGCTGAGCTACGCTGATTTTATTAGGGACTGTGAGGTCACACTTGCAGTGACATCACCATTGAGAACAGAGCTGAAACCTCACAAAATAATTTTTTAGGGTACTAGGAATTGAATTTAGGCACTTTGCATTAAGCTACATCTCCCGTCTTATATATATATATAAGATAGATATATATATATACATATATATACATATATATACATATACATATATCTTTTTTTGAGATAGATTCTCACTAAATTGCTAAGCTGTTCAGACTGGTCTCATACTCACAATGCTGCTGAGTATATTTCAATAAAAATGCATCATTTAGTGAGACAAATGAGGTGATTTTTCTCTGTTTGAATAAAATGTTATTTATCACTAAGATGCAGCAGAAATAATTCTACCTCTGCTTTATTGTTAGTTTATTTGCTGAGAAACTTCTGTGAAATATGAATATATGGGAAAGGAAAGAGTTTTGTACGGCAGTTTCATCTAGTTCTCAAGTTTTGTATCTTTCCAAGTTTTACATCAAAATCTGTGACTATAGGCCAGGCAGAGGGCAAATGCCTATAATCCCAGCACTGAGGAGGCTGAGGCAGAAGGATTGCCGTGAGTTCGAGGCCAGCGTGAACTGCATAGTGAAACTTTGTCTCAAAAAACAAGAAAATAAAAAGATAAGAAATCTATGACTATAAAACTTAATTATTTATAAGATGATACCTAAATTTTCTCTTCTTTAAAATTAGAAGAGGGATGATAAATATAGGTAGGTAGATAGATAGATTAGATAGATAGATGATTGATAGATAGATAGATGATAGATAGATAGATAGATAGATAGATAGATAGATAGATAGATAGATCAGATAGATAGAAAAGGATAAGGCAGACAGCCCGGCTAAGAGTTTGTCATCTAGATGAAGCTCAGAAGCTTTTACTAAATTTCCATTCAGAAGCAGTGTATTCTTTCACAACAGCCAAGCACTGGACTAGCTGGAGCTTTGAATCAATAAAGAATCATCACTCCCACTGCCTCACCCTAGGCTTTCTTAATTCAGAGCTTCCTGTTACAGATCAAAGTACATCATTTCTTCTGTCACTCCTCGTCCTTACACACATCCAAAAGAAAATCTAGGAAACTCTGCCACAGGAAAGGTTGCCTTGGACAAAGGAAGTGTCGTGGACCCCAGGTCAACTCTCCATGAGGTCAGGCCCCCAGACAGTTTTCACATCAGAGTGGCAGTCAACACGATGTGGCTTAGCTCTGCAAAGCAGGAGAAAGAGCAAGCATGAACGGAGAGGCAGACAAGGCAGGATACCAACGGCAGGAGAAGACTCGGGTGGCTTTCACGGGAAAAAAGTGGAAGATGAGTCCCTAGAAGTGATTCCTTGCAAAGGTCCCTTTTAAGCCTTCTTTCTGCACATTCTTCAGGTTCCATAAACGGCACATGCTGGGGGACACATCCCCAGTGTACTGTCTCAGGGAACGGCAGGCGGCCATGAGAGACTGGAAGTTTCCTTTGCCTTGCGGAGGAGAGGGAAGGAAGAAAAGGTCAGCATCTGAGCGCTGCCTCCAAGCGCACTCATCTGCCGTACAGGGAAAAACATCACTTGTGCTCTGCTGGCAGAAGTGGATTGTGGACCCGTGAGCAGTGCGAGTCACACTTTCTTTACATTCACGTCTAGGGAGTTAAAATCATCACCACTGCAGTACATGCCAAAAATGGGCATGGGGAGAAATTTCACCCCAGAAGACTGGGGTCTCCACAGCGATTCTACTACGTGTAATCTACGATACTGAGAGTCGAGGGAAGCAGGATTTCAACCACTGACATGGTAGTTTCTTTTCTTTTAATTTCTCAAAGGAAGTATGGAGCCATCTTTTCCCAAAATTTTCCATAAGAAAAAAGAGAGGTTACTATAGACCCATTAAGTCAGTGTCCTCGTCTTCACCTACCTGGCATCCTCCTTACCCGTCAGCTCTGCTTCTGAGCTTCTCTCCTGGAGTTTTGGGTTCCATGGCACGCAACTCGTAAAGCGCTGAGCTGCGCTGATTTTGTTACGGACTGTGAGGTCGCACTTGCAGTGACATCACCACTGAGAACACAGCTGAAACCTCACAAAATAATTTTTTAAGGCACTAAGAACTGGATTTAGGGACTTTGCATTAAGCTACATCTCCAGTCTTCTTTATAATTTTTTCTTTTTTTTTTTGAGACAGATTCTCACTAAATTGCTAAACTGTTCAGACTGGTCTCAAACTCACAGTGCTGCTGGCTCAGCCTCCAAGAGTGCAGGGATTATAGGCTTGCGTCACCACTCCCAGCCAAAATAACTAAGTTTTCTGATGGAACCAACTCAGCACTAAAAGAGTGAGTGAATCAGGCAGGCTGGATTGAGTATTTCTAAGTTATAGAAGTAACTTCAATAATAAAAAAGTAGATTGTTACTAAATCTCCCAGGATCTCAAGTCCTCGATGATCATCTATTTTACAGGCTTGTCAGAAAAATTAGTGATGATTCTTGCCAAGCACCTACTGCATACTATGTGCCTGACACATAGTCGGGACTCAGCCAATAATAAGCAAACTGATAAGAGATAAGCAAAATGCACAGGCTTCTAATTAAACTATTTGTAGTGTATCATCCACATGTTTGTTCAAGTCTTCCTGTCTTCAACCACCCAACATACCAGACTTCTTAAACTGCTTTATCTTTGGGTAGAAGGTAGGACATGTAAATGCATATTTTTAGATATTCAAATAGGGGAAATAACTGTGGCACATACGGCTCAGCTCCAGAAAAGGGAGTGTTCAAGCAGTTGCAGACACTGCTCACACTGTGTCTGACATGTGATGTCAGATAAGCTTGAAGTGTGAGAGGAGAAGGTCGTACTTCAGAGAAGAAAATCGCAAATACCCACAAAAAAAGAAGAGAAATGATCACAATATATAGCAGAAGGGAATTATTATCTTTCAAATTAACAGCAAAACGTCAAACCATCTTCAACATTTTTTTAAGAAATAATGTAAGTCATCTTAGAAATGCTGCAATCCGAAACTACTTCATGTTTTAAAAAGCTTAGCACTTCAGGTACTGGCTTTCCTTTCTCCAGAAAATCTATATATTAATATTACACATTGAATCAAGAAGTAGGACATGGCATAAGACAGTGCTGAGAAGTCATGAACTGTCATAGTACTTGAGTTCAAATCCTACCTATACCGATTCTTAAGTATCTGACTTTAACTTATTTTGACACTCCTCAGGTTATCTTTATCAATCTATATAATAGAATGGAATAAGACAAATAATTTGTGTTTGTTTTGTGAATAAGTGAGGGTGAAATGTTTAGTAGAGTTCCTGGAACAGAGTAAAGATTCAGTAAGCACAGTACTGTATATTAGTACTAGTATTACTACCACTGCTTCTCTCACAGTGGTTGAAATAATACTAGTAACAGCACTGTTAGGCTTAGTGTTACTTATTGGCGTTTCAATAGTTGCAGAAGTTTTATTTTGCAAACTACACTACAGTTTCTTTCAGAGTGCTGGGCTACCATTTATCACCTTTTAGAAATTTGTCATAATTAGTAGCATAGTTGTGGACTTATGGTGGATATTTGGTGACTATTCCTTGATTGATAGCTGTGTATATGCATTACATTCGGGTAAACATGAATTCATTTGCATTTCAACTCAACAACTTAAAAATTAACCCACTTTCACATTTAATATCTCCATTTATGCAACTCTTGGCTGCAAACAACTAATTAGAGATGATATGGTTTTGCTTGTGCTTTGGCAGACACTAATCTATGAATTCTAATACAACTGACTGCCTAATTCATCTACATTGAAACCACATGTCAGGAAAATATATGCAAATTAAGTAATATAATTTGGTTAAAGAAAATCAGAAAAATGGACCTTCCCAATTATTACTCATGGAGTCAAAATTTAGCTGAGAGAAAGGGTTTTATTGATGCTTTCATTTATACTGAGGTTTGTTTACATTGTAAATACTAAATATTTTCCCCCAGGGCTATTCACAGGTATAGTGTTAGCCAAGAAAACATGTCATTACTTGTAGTAATGTGTTCAACATTTTTCAAAGTAATACAGACAAAAACACTTCAGTTAAAAATAAATTTGAATTCTGATGTCCATGCAAATACCATTTTGTACTCACAAAATATTTACTGACAATTCTTTCTGTGAAGTGATTTATAAAAACTCAGATTGTGTTTCAAAAGAAATATAAACCATAGATGTTTAATAAATTAAATTTTTCACTTTTCATTTCTATTCAATAGAATTAAAATTAGGTTGTATCATTATATTCTCTTCTCTTTATAAAATGGGAATATGTGAAATAATACATTTCATCATATTGAGTTATACATATTTTACAAAATAATGGAATAAAGTTTTGGTTTGGGAGGGTTTTTTTGCTTTTTAAAAAAATAGATAACACGTAATAAGTATAATCAAATCTGTGCAAGTCATCCCTCAAAATCCTGTTTGTACCAAATCATATTCTAGTGTAAAAGTATAAAAATTAAATAGATAGAGCAAGATGTAATGGTGCATGCCTATAATCCAATGCCTGTAACTCTAGGAGGCTGAGGAAGGAGAATCACAAGTTTGAGACCAGCCTAGACAACTAAGCAATTTAGCTTCATCCTATCTCAAAATTAAAAAAAAAAAAAAAATTAAAGACCAAGGGTGTAACTGAGTGAAAAGGTCCTGGATTTATCCTTAGTACTGAAAAAAAAAATAGATGATATAGCTGATAGACCTATTGATAGCCTATCAGGAAGATTGTAGCTATGGAATAGGTGCCTGGACAGAAGAGTTAAATTGGTAGAGACACAGAGTCAGAAGTTACTTATTCATTATTTATAAAAATCCACTTCCTAATATCCTCCCCTCTTAAACTCCAAATCCCTAATTGTTTTATTCATCTACAAACACTGAGAGACAATAAGTAATAAGGGATATAAA